TTTTGGAGGGTGATCATTGTAAAATTTAGCCAATGAAATCAAAGTCACAATGTGATAAACGAATGTCCATTATGCTTCAGATGGTAAGTATTCCATCACAATCATCTTCCAATTATCATAGAGATCTTTAACAGCAAATAGTCTTGGTGCAATTTTTTTTTGATAACAATATTCATGAACCTCTTGACCATGATTTTTTTACATACTTTTTTTACAAGGTATTTTTTTTTATTACATCAATTCTTTCAAGCCATTTTTGTTCAAGAGATTTAACCTTTTGTACTCATCAATAACATGTTTATCTATCTAATTATTTTGTACAAATTTGACAACCCACTGTTTGGGTGTCTTATCTTCCATATTACCTTTTTGTACCTCCTCTATTATAAAAAGAAGTTTTGATTCATGCAATTGCTTTTTATAAATAAACTGATAATCTTGATTGTCATGACTTTTGAATGAATGTGAATAAGGAAAATGAGACTGTCATTCAATATCCAATTGGTCTGGTTGTACTGAATCATAATAAGTTTTTAGTTCAACTCAGGGTTGGCAAATTGACTGGTCCATTGAGAACAGTTGGATTTTGGACTGGTCCATTGCCATTAATAAAATACTAAATATGGTTAAAGTGTTACACCAATGGACCCAATAGACCACCAATAGACCATCAATGGACCACACATTTGCCAACCCTGGTTCAACTAACCCAACTTTTAATGCACTAAACATGACAAGAATATTTATAAGATTATCATGACAGTATAGGATAGGTACCAAAGGTATCATGGGAGTAAGAGGCTCAATTATAATTTCTTCCCCCAAAAACAGCACCAGAGATTCCAAGCCATGGCCCAGCAAGATGCAAAAGGAAACAAGGATTAAGATATCTTTCACAGTCTGGCACTATTGAAATATATTTTCCATAAGAGCCACAAACTTGTCTGTGTGGATCACTTCCTCCCATTCCAAGTTCATTATCTGCTTCTAATATCAAAAGAGTACATTGACCCCCTCCAAAGTACAATTATCTGTAATTGAAAATGGATTCATCTCATATCCAAAAAGGTCATGCATCATATCTTGAAAAATTTCTTTTCTTTTATCTTCAATATGATAAATCTTTGCCATATTCCATTACTCCACCCTCTCCACTTATTTTATAATCTCTAATATCAATTTCCTTTGCTGAAAGTTTACTTTTGAAATTTCCAAAGATGTGATGACATATAGATATTGGAATTTTTGAACCATTTGGTTGGTAATTGCACATTGCATCAGGATCATATTCACATGTTTTAGAATAAGTTGATGGTAGTCTCATATTTACTACCTTTGTTTTTGCTTGGATCCATGTATCTTCTCCTATTTTTGAACAGATTATTAAAATACTGTAAAAGAAAACATCAATATAATTTCAAAGGGTAAACAAGAAAATTTACCTTCAACTTTACGTTTTATTCCTGGAAGAAACAAGCAATAAGAAAATGAAATTAAGATATGTAAATAATAAATGATAGGAAATTGTTAAATATACTCAAATAATATTTACCTTTATTTTTCTTAACACCTCCTGTAATACCAAATAGAAAGCAGTAAATGGACAGAAACAAAGAGGTATAAATTAGTCAAAGTTGTATACAATATACCAAACAAACAAATAAATAAACAAAATGGAATAATTTTTTTACACAATTTGTTCTTTACCTTTCCCTTCTCCACCAAACTCTCTTAACGCCTTTCCCCACTCCTTCACCTGCTCCTTCCAGTCATCCACGTTCTTCTTAATTCCTCCTCTTCCTTCTTTAACTTGACTATTTTATCTTCCCATCTTTTCTCTTGTTTTCATCCCTGTATTCTCCCTTATCTAACTTCACCTCCAACTTGTCTGATCTCTTCTGTTTATTCCCTTCTTCAAACTTCTTCAACTCCTCTTCTGCCTTTCTATAATCTTCTCTTGCTTTATTTAATTCACTTTTGATTTTCTCTTACATTGCCATTTTTTTTTTTAGAATTAAAAAAATATTTTTTTATTGATTTAGATCGTTACAATTAATTGTTTCTATAAATAATAATTTGGACCAATGATAAATTAGTGGGCACATGACTTGCAATTAATATTTGTATTTTCTTCGTTTTCATTATCTTCGTAATCTTCACTCTCCGCCTCTTTCTTCTTTTCCTTTTTGACACATTCCTGAATTGCTTCTATCGTTTTTCTTCTAGGATTGGTTTTCGTTGATAGAAGTTTTTTATTGTGGAAGCAGCAACTCCTTTTCCATCTCCTAGTAATTGGCGAATTTCAATGACCATTTCATTAAATGAAAAATCGGGATCTTTTTATCAAATAATTGTTTAAAATCCTTCCATAGTTTTTCTATTTCTTGTGAATATTGTTTATCACTAGTAGGTTGAGGTTGTTTTGTTTTATTTTTAAATTGTTTCCTTCTTGGTTCTATTTTATCGATTATTTGATCAAATTTTTGATTTATAATATGGAATTGATTTTGATAGGTTTTATAGCGAAGTAAGGAACCAAGAAGTCCAATTAATAATCCACAAAAAAGTTCGTTACTGAATGTAAGCATTTTTTTTAAAATGTTATGGATGAAAATTGTGTAAATATTTATTGATTATTTGGTTTTTTTTAAACCAAAATAAAATTGTTTAATGGTGATTGTTAGAAGGATTTGTTATTTTACCTGAAAATTAAGTGAATTGGTAATGTTTTTATATGTTCTAATACAAGGCGGGATTACTTACCTTGTTTTGATGTCAATGAAAGAAAAACAAAGACTTATAAAACATATCCTTGAATGTAGTAGAATTTGTTCAAAACTCAAACAACGTTTTTTTTATTGATAATAATAAGCAATGCAATAATATGATGATCATTAATTACATTTGCATAAAGGAGAATTTTCTTTGTAGTAATAGTCAGTAAAAAAAAATAAATCAATATTGTAATAAGAAAATTATTTCCCTTCTAAGGATTTCTGCTTTTTATTAGGTAATAATGCATCATCATGATGCTTTCTTTTTCCAACATTATTATTTTTCTTTCTTGGTAAATTTCATAAGTAATCCTTTCTTTTCTTAGATAAGCCTCAAGTGTTTGAGTATCATTTATTTTGAAAATATAAGGAGCAATTTTTTCACCTTTCTCTTTCTTCAGAATACTTCTAATGGTGCTATAATTCTTGGGTTCCATAGTAGATCTGATGTAAATTAATTTCATATTAACTATTTTTGTCTAGAGATAATCCTATATATCACTTAACAAATGTGACATTATAAAACTGATCACATTACAATTGTGATGGAATGACTAAATTTTGATCCCTGAAATCCTTGGTAATATCAATGTTCACTTTGTCTGGTTTTGTTGCAGCATGCCCCATTTGTAAGATATGGACTATTTACCATTAGTTTGGATTGTATAGGTTTCAAACTTATATATTTCAGAACGAGCTTACAGTAGGTAAAGCCAGAAAGCACTTGATAATAAAATTTTAATGCAGTATTCCAATTTTGAAAGGTCACCTGTTTGTTTCAGGGTTGGCAAATTGACTGGTCCATTGCCATTAATAAAATACTAAATATGGTTAAGGTGTTACACTAATGGACCACCAATAGACCACCAATAGACCATCAATGGGCCGCACATTTGCTAACCATGGCTTGTTTGCTATAAGTATCATTTTTTGCATTTCTTGGGCTAAAACCTCTATGCCAGTTGACAAGATAAATGCTTTGGAATAAAGTCTCAGACCAGATACAGTTTGTAACTGAGAAAGTTTTTTAAATTATGTTAAATAAAAATCCCAAAATCATTATCAATAGGGGTGTTCAAAGTTGTTCCATTCCTGTTTCCTGTTCCTTGTTACACAGTTAAAATTAAATTTTATTGGCTGATCAGAAGGAACAGGAAACGGAACAGAGAAACAACAAATTTGTTGTTTCTCCTTGT